GGGGGGGGGCAGCAATAATTACGACCATATCGTGGTCGCGGGATGTGATTCTTTCCTGGGGTAGGCAATCCCGCCTCGCTTATCCAGAATGTGATCCTTTGGGGATGCTTTCCGTCCCGTGCATCGTTGCGTGGCTCCAGGCGGCAGCGCCTGCAGGGAAGTGCCATGTGACAATAATGAAATGATCAGGATAATAAACAATTATGGGCGATTTGCTATTAATAATAATTACATTTGGCGACTTTTAAGTAATATGCACCAGCTGGGGTACACGACGTTTGGAGCCGAATCGTATTTTTGTCGTGGGAGTGTCATCGGCGTGCTCGGGAGGTCCCGGGGGCCCGAACGACATCGGCATCGGCACTACCAGATTCGGACTCAGCGTGCGAGAAAACCCCCGAACACGATATTTAACTCATCCTGGTCGTTCCGAGGTTGACGGTCGGTCGGTCGGTCGGTCGGCCAAACCATTGGCTGGACGCGCGGCTCTACCGGACGATCGTGTTTGTGGCCACAACTTTGCAGCCGCAGCGCGCGGCTCTACCGGACGATCGTGTTTGTGGCCACAACTTTGCGGCCGCAGCGCGCACCCCGAAAATCAACTTATACCGGAGTGACTATAGCTATCGAGACCGTAAAGAGACCAGCCACAGTCACAACGCCCCACAACGATGCCACGACCTCACTTATAAACCATGGAGATCCGAGGGGTGTCCCCATGACCACACGACCGCGTCCCCCGGGTGGCCTACCGCAAAGAGGTCCAGCAAAAACTCGCCACAACTGCCCCATCGTTCGAAATTTTTAGAACTTTGATTTCTCGAAAACTATTCAGCTTACAGCGACCTGGCTTTGCAGGGCAGTTTATATTCACAAGCCAAACATTCCTGGCTAAGCTCCAAACACTAGAATAAAAAAAAAATAAACTTCTGAAAGTCAAGGGTAGAACCCATGACACGGAGCCAGGACCACACTCCAAGAGCGCGATTCAGCCCCGGTATGACAGTCACGACCAAAACATGCCGAACTGCCGGCTTAGTGCGTGCCCCAGGCCCGGGGACCGACGATAGCCCCCTTTTTGCCGCTCCGTGACGCAAAATTTTAACGTAAATCGGCTCTAACTTTGGTTCTATTGGAGCCACAGCGCCCCGATTTCGCCTGTAGATTCCTATAGTAAAACTGAATAGACCCTGCAATGGCCGATCAGCTAGCGCACCCCGAGACCTGCGTTTGAACGACACAAAGTAGGTCCATGAGAATTTTTTGTAAAAATCTTAAATTTCCCGAAAACAGGCTCTAACTCTGGACCCATTGGAGCCACAGCGCCGCGATTTTGCCTGAAGATAAATCTAGTAAAACTAAAATGACCCAGCAACAGACGATAAGCTATCGCCACAAGAAACCTGCATTTGAACGACTCAAAGTAGGTCTGTAGGAAAATTAGTTAAAATCTTCAATTTCTCGAAAACTGTTCATCCCACAGCGGTCTGGCTTTAGAGGGCAGTTCACATTCAAAGGCAGAACATTATCTGATAGTTTCCATCCCCTCGGAAAAAGAAAAAAAAAAAGGCCCCCAAAAGTCAAGAGTCGAACCTACGACATGGAGAGCCCAAACGACCAGCGGTCCAGCTTGCAACTATCTGAGCCACCACACCACACTCCACACCCGCACTCAGACACCGGTATATTATATCAGTCACAGGTTTACCAGCCCATTGGCTGGGCGCGCGGCCCTGCGCCCCGGTCGGCCCGAGAAAGCACCTTTTCGGCAGGCCGATGTCGGAAAAAAATATGTAAATCGCAATTTTCTTAGAAAGTATCTGAGCTACAGCGCCCCGACTTCGCCTGTAGTTTACTCTAGTAAAACTGAACAGATCCTGAAATGGGCGATCCCCTCACGCTTTGGGAAACCAG